TTATGGCTAGCGGATAGTTTGTCATGTGATATTTATGGCTAGCGGATAGTTTGTCATTTGATATTTATGGCTAGCGGATAGTTTGATATTTATGGCTAGCGGATAGTTTGATATTTATGGCTAGCGGATAGTTTGATATTTGTGGCTAGCGGATAGTTTGTCATTGGCAATTCTACCACATCTCTTTGTTATTATAATGAAGACCACACATTTACATTAACATTGTAGATGTTTTTGTTAAGGTTTTTTGTATTGTTGGGGTGCTGTCTCACTTGCATTTATCAAATAAATCATCAAAGATTCCCGGCTTATAACTTGGTACGTCAGAAGCTCGTTTCGTCTACATAACACACTACAACACATCGCTTTAATCAAATCGCACTTTCCAACTCTGTGTTATTAAGCTTATCTTCTTAAAGGCCTCTAATGCACTATTCTACGCATTCATAAGGAAAACCTCTTGATTTCAACTTAGTTTCTTAAACAAGTTTGCTCTTCAATTTCATCTCTGAAAATTTCTCTTTTATAAAAACAATTAAGTAGAAAATAATGATTTGTAGCAGTTATTCGCAGCAAATATTCTTGTAGATGTCACAGCAAGATGAAAAAAAATAAAAATTAGCGTCTATGCTACAGTCTCAGAAAAGGTGGTCTCGCACGGATTATTTTCATTTAAATGGTAAGACCCTTTCATATTTGATGCTCCCAAAATTATATAATGCATATACATATTCAGAAACGACATTTCATGTCTAGTGCTATATCCAAAAGAAATATAGAATAGCTGTTATATTCTGTCACACTTATCACAACCACAGCTAACTATTTAACCATTTTCCATGATTTTGCGGGTGGAAAATGTGTTTGATGAGATATTTTTCTCGGAGCTATTTACAGTAATGATATTTTAATGCGATATTTATGACTTGTACCAGACAGAATTTAAAGTCGGAGTGATCAGTGGTCTTTAGTGCATTTCAAATAAAAGTAAGAGTAAAGCGTTGGAGGCTTGTACGGTTAGGATCATCATCCCTGTATCATGACTGTGCAACTCTTAGTGAAAATACATGTAGGATATATATACAGTTATAATGAACTCACACGAAGCGTAATATGTACTTTGATTTGAATCAATCGCCCTGAACATGCATGGAATATTTGTCATTGGACGTTAATCAGCCAATAATCAATGAAATTAATCAATCTCTCAAATTTGGGTCCAAGGTGAAAAAATTTGAAAAATAAATTTTTTTTTAAAATAGATGACTGGTGAAGCTGTGACAATATAATAGGGGTATCTTATGAGGGAGAATTTTCAATACACAAGGATGTCACCATAGATATAAATCTTTGTCATGTAAAAATAAAAATAGGAAGATTTGGTATGATTGTCAATGAGACAATACTCAACAAGAGACCAAATGACATAGAAATTAACATGGTCTGAGAAACTGGCGGCAGGGACTTCGTGTGTGCCCATACTGCAGAACAGAATTTATGAGTGTTGATGATGTGTAAAAACTCGCATCTGTTATTAATCTCTTTCTCTCTTGCAATGATTTATAAATACAAATAGTCAATTACGAAGGTAAAAAAACCCAACCCAAATGCAACAATTGTCGCACACCAAGATGCCGCGAACATTTGTTTTCTTAATCTGTGACATGAAACAAATCTGACACAGCCAATTCATGATTTATAATGGCATTGTTGACATTTAAAATAAACTTTAAAATGTTCAATATTTAATCCCAAACACTAATTTGTACTTATATTGTTTCGAATCGATATGTAAATAAAAAAATTACAATCCATTTCTATTTTTAAATTAATTAATACAATGATGAAATCAATCTAGAATTCGATCAATTTTATAAAAGTACTAAATATGATTAAGAAACATCTGCTCCCGATATGATAATATGCAGCCATATATGTTAAATTGGAAAAAGATGCAAATTCAGTCATAATTTCAATAAATATTGCATACTACGAATACAAATGAACCCCGGAACTGCAGTAAAAACAGTTAAATTTGATGTTTTAAATCATTATTATTGTAGGTGAATATTACATTGCGGTCCCTGATATATGACTTATTTTCTTTTAAACTCAACGCATTAAGCACGTATATCTATACACATATATGATTGCGTATGGTTTTATCATATGGTATGAAAAAATCTCAGGCAAGAACAAACAGGAAAAGCAATATAATGGAAACAATGTCTTTGACACTGCCGGACGGATTTGCAAGCAAGGTCCAAGTAGCATGTGACGAAGAAAAATATACCAGCTTTGATGGATTCTAACAAATAAATTGTTGATACTAAATTGAACTAATGCTAAAAATGGTGAATGAATCGTGCATTTTTCAATTTTTCACGCTTAATGTTTAATGCTGTTTTTTTTAAATAATTGCAGACAGTTAAAAATGCACCACAATGTGAAACATTTAGTATTATATTATCCGATCTTCTGTGTACATAGAAGTGTTCGTGTGTAATCCTAAATGAAATGAGGGTTAGGCTAATATCTTGAATCTGTCTATTTACTAATGGTGTAACATAACTTCATTCCAAAGGAACCCTTTTTTCTTTTGAAAATTATTTATGGTTGAATGAGATGTGAATATTCGTCAATCTGACAGCCACCCGTAACTACAATAAATCGGGAAATACATGGCAGACATACATGTTCATGAAATTCAACCGTCAAATGCCCAATAACTTGCTCAAATTCAACGCAATTAACAGTTTGACTTTTGGATTGATGATATAAAAATAAGAAGATGTGGTATGCTTGCCAATGAGAAAACTCTCCACAAGTGACAAAATGACACCGCTTGGCCTTCAACAATGAGTAAAACCCATACTGCATAGTCAGCTATAAAAGGCCCCGAAATGAAAAATGTAAAACAGTTCAAACGAGAAAACTAACGGCCTAATTTATGTACAAAATAATGAACGAAAAACAAATATGAAATATGATATACAGCAACAAACGACAACCACTGAATTACAGCTCCTGACTTGGGACAGCACATACAGAATGTGGCGGGGTTACACATGTTAGCGGGCGCCCAACCCTTCCCCTTACCTGGGACATTTTAGCTTTCCTTCAAGTCTTTTACAAAAGATCATTTAATCTGGATGACTATTTTCCAAAAAGGAGTTGAGTTATTATGCAAAGATTCTGTTTAAGGTAATTCTATAAAAGCGCTTCTGTGGCTATTCTTTTTCGTGTTTTTTTTTGTCGAATAACTATTTACGTGGCTATGTACTTTTGCATCCCTGGCTTTCAAATGTTTACTTTTGAGCATTCTCGATGAAGGTAAATCTAGAAAATCGCTCCGGACGCAAGAAATTTATAAAGTTTTATTTTCATTTACTTAAATTTGATCGTTGACGCAGGATTAATGTATTTGAAAACTGACTTTACGTTTTATATTTAAGAAACAGTATGTGACACAGATTTCTACTCATCCCTGTATAATAAGTTTATTAAAGTTAATACTTGTTTTGGCATTTACTTACGGTGAAATTAGATCCAGGATTATTATCTTAAATGATATTTTTCTTTATAAAGACAGTCACGAGTAATTTATTTCAGCAACAATATAGCACGGCAGGTCATAATTTTTAATCGAATTGTACTGGGTTTTTGTATGTACTGTATAGCATATAAGAGTTGAAGAATATACGTAGAGCATATGGAATAAAAACCTTCTATTTCACAGAAGATCAAGAATATGACAGTTGTTTTTCAGTCGTTCCGTTAGTTGATAACGTTTGATTTTGTCCGTTTTAATAGACTTCCCTTTTTTGAGTTTACCATAGAGTTAGGTATTTTTGTTATACTTTTTTACAAAATTACTGCTCATGTGCAGAGTCACTTCCCTGTTTGAAATATTATTTGTCAACATACACTGGTCCACAGCCTTATACATTCACTAATTTGTAAAACAATTGTTTGTGCACAATTTGTTGAAGGCCATAAGATGTCATTACTGTCTACATCTACGTTATTAGGTTACTGGTTGTTAGTTGTCCCATTTGCAATCATATCACATCTGATTTTTAAACTTTTCAGATCTAAGTTGAAAAAGGGGTCAGACTTTCAAAAGATATTTTAGGGTATTTTTTTTTTACGTTATCCGTATATAAAAATCTTTCCAAAGCAATATTTACTATACTATATTGTATTAAAAAGATAATGTCTCCAAACATCTGAATGCAGTTGAGGAGGTTTGAATATTTTTTTTGTTTTAAGCTTTCAAATATTTTATTAAATTAAAGGAGCTAATATTTAGGAATTTTAATAGTTGGAAGGGAAAATGCATATTATTTGTTTAAACGGTGCTGTACATGTATATATATGATTGTTCAGTTTACACACACGCGTACATATGTTTTCATTTGTTTATAGGCTAATACCAAATTGGTCTTGTAGAAAGGGAAACAAAAAAAAATAATTGCATGACTATCCCGAAATTAATATTTTAAAATAGCCGCAAATTTGTATTGCTAGCTGGTAATCATGTTTTTACCGAAAGGGTATTGTAGAACTTAAAATAGCTGCATATTTTTATTGCTAGCGATTGATAATTTTTAACCGTATGAGTTTTATATTGCTTTTGATCATTTTTAGATTTGGAAATCAGTTTTGTTAGTTGAGCTATTTATCACTATTTTTATTAATATGCTCAGAACTATCCGTTTAACTATAGTAGATGCACTGTTGAATCTGTCTATAATATTCTTTGCAGACATCAAGAAAATATAGAACAGAAAAAATTTATAAAATAATTCTATAACACAGATTTAATGGAAGAACTCTGCCGAGAAAAAAAGGGAATATGTTTCGAAATGACGATAACCGATTTGTAAGCAAAAGAAATACAGAATAACAGGTGGGAAAAAGTAATGAAAATTGACATATCTAATAATGTAAAAGGTGTAATAAGAAATTAACATAATAATGTAATTATAGTTACTTACCGACTAATTGGGGCCTGACAGGTGAAAATAAAAATGTCAGTATATGTAGTATCCACGAAATCACAAAACACCGATAATTTCTGTAATTAATCGTCAAAATAAGCATAGTCAAAATTACACATCGGAACTTTCCGGTAGTCCACGATCATTCTATACGGCCAAAATTACTTTCTTGTAATAAAGTTACAAAAACACACCACGTAAACTATATACTTAAAGATGTAAATTAAGAAGTAAATTATCCCTTTTGGTTCGTAAAAATATCAACTGCTTCCTAATTAAGTTAAGCTCCCAGGTAGAGAATTTTTTTAACAGTTACGGGATATGTCGCCAGGTTTTAGTCCGTTTCACACCCTGGTAGACATACATGTTCCTAAGATTTTTCAGTGATAACGATCTTAATTCGTTTTAAAACTTTCTCAAATATTTTCTTCAAGATAAACCAGTAATTAAATTCTTTATCTCGTTAACTGATCATGCCATTAAAGTATTCCTTAAATAGCCTCAGGAAAAATCCGTGTTAATATCAAGAATATTATCGCAAAAAATTAAAATGTCATTTGTTTCGTCTTTTTATCATCGGGTAATAATCAAAATTGCTTAATTACCCTCAAGAAGTCCTCTAGTCGATATGCAGGAGATATTAATTGACACAGATCACTTTCATCTGAACGATCGCGAACAGCGGTGACCATATCCTGCTTGCTACCCAACCGCAATCCACTTGGGTTTTATTTAAGTTGTTCTGAGATCAGATAGTTTTCATAATAAACCTCAAAAAAGATAATTCATAAATATTATTCATGACTTAAAGAAAATTATGTCGTCTGCAATACAAACTTTTATCTTCTTTATCCAATAGCTAAATTTACATTTTTTCACCATAATAGTACATATTTTGATTGGTTACCTTACAACAATTGGGCGTGGTCAATATGAAAGTTAATAACATTAATATAGTATGCAGTACAAATATTTGCAGACGACTAACATTTCACGTGGATTTATTTAGTTAATGGAGCCATTTTACCGACAGAACTTTAAATGTATTGCTGTTTATTTCTTTTGCACATCATCATAAAATTTGTCAATTTCTTTTGAAGATTTTTATATTAATAAAAATATTTTACATTTAATTTGAAACATTATAGCTGATCGTGTTTTATGGGAAGTAACTATCCATGAACGATACGAGAGAAATCTTAAGTGATCAAAATGGAAATGGATTTGTAAGTTTCATTGACAAAATTCTACGGTCGACTTCGTAAAGATATTTGACTTTTTGAAAGTACAGGTGTTTCCGTACATCTGTTTTTGTATTAAAGACAAAGGAATTTAACATTACAATTTTGTATTTTTTTAATTAAAATTATTTTGATCCCATTTGATAATTTGTGCATTTCGAGTTCAGTGATACTACACATTGCATTTGGGATTTTTCCCGGCCTGTTTCAGCGATTTGATTTTTTTTGTATGACAGAGATCAGCATATTTTGGAACACATCTACCCATTCAAGCTGGTGTATGTAATCCGTACGACCCGTTAAAACAAAGTCGGGTTTTTATTACTACATGTACATACCAAGAAAAGTAATAGACTTCTCATAAGTGTTACCGTCATCATTAAATTTGGGCTCAACAAAACAAAACAAAAAACAAAAACAGAAATTGGAGCATCTATCCACATGCTCATTCAGTTTGATGAAAACATTAGAACCCTGTGGTTTTGAAGTAGGATGGGGTGTTACGGCTCGCCGTCCCAGAATTTGTGTGTTAAACCTTCTACATCTTTAAGCATTATTTAGATTTTATAATTTGTGCAAAAAGGGTAAGAAACAAACTTATGAAGTCCTCTAATAATGTATATTACAGTAATATTGTTATTGTGAAGTAATATCTTAATATTGCTAACGTTTATATATAAACGGAGTGTGTGTGTGTGTGTGAGGGTGGGTGTGTGTGTGTGTGTGATTCACGGTTCTACTAATAACGAAATCCTAATTCTGTTAACGTAAACACTACAAATGTAAAAAGGTACGCGCGTACAACTCAAAACAACGATACATTTTAGTGGTTTCTGAAACTCACTATGTTGGTTGACCACAACAATAAAAACAAAACCTCAGTCTAATAAGGTAAAAATTAACATAGATGTAATAAAGATAGATGGGTTTAAAAAATGTGGGACAGTTAGATAACCACATTTCTGAAAGAAAATCCGAAAGTCCGGAGCCTGTAATTCAGCGGTTGTCGTCTGCTGCTGTATATCATACATTTTTTTTCGTTTTATTTTTTGTACATAAATCAGACCTTTTCGTTTAAATTGTGTTACATTTGTCATTTGGGGCCTTTTACAGCTTACTATGCGGTATGGGTTTTGCCCAATTTTTGAAGGCCGTACAATGACATATAGTTATTATCTTCTACGTCTGACATTTGGTTTCTGGTGGAGAGTTGTCTCATTGGCAGTAAACCACATCTTTTTAGTTTTTTTTTTATATTCTATGATCGATTAAACTTATTTTTTTTTACTCTTATTTAGTAATCGCCTTTTACCTTAAACAATACGAACAAACGGATATTTTGGGTAAACTTCAATGAGACAAAAAACCAACGACACACATATATATGTATAATATCCATGGAAAGGAATGCTTCAGTCGGATATATACGAATAAAGTACTTATCTTTTAATTAAAGAGTCCAACAAGAACGTGAGCTCGTTGACCGAGTGGTCTAAGTAGTTTATCGTCAGTATCATTACATGTAGCACTGAGGTTGTGAGTTCGAACCCCGCATGCGGTAGGTGCTTTCAACTCCGATCATAATTGACTAGGATTGCCATTTTTTCTGCCGAAGGTTGTGGGTTCTCGCCGGCTTTCTTCCCCAATAAAAACTGACCGCCGCGATATAGCTAATAGTGCTGAAAGTGGCGTTAAAGACCCAAAATCAATCTATCAAGGCAATTTACTGCAATGATTCACATACACATACAATAATTCCCAACAATAAATTTGATAAGCATATATATTTTATCGCCTTATATAGTGATATGAGGCAACAACCAAACCACAGCCAAATCATTACTGGGACTTATACATGAAGTATCTATTGGTCATATATAAAAATAAAAAGATTTGGTATAATTGCCCATAAGACAATTGTCCACCAGATACCAAATGACGTAGGCGTAAGCAACTATGTTATTTATTATATGTATATATCTATATATAGAATTATGAATAAATACTCGTTGATAATTTTTTAAAGGCAAAATCTTATAAATGTGAAATACAATAGAATACAATATTTGATCTACTTAATTAGGACCCAGTTGAGGACATGATTACAAGGCACGACAGTACATCAATTAGTAAATATATAATTGTACAATCAGCTGATAACACAGACAGAGGAGAGGAACAATTTGTGACCTTGATTGATACTATTCTGACCTATGTTGATCGTGTTATGAGTTCAAAATTTTCATTTAAGATATAGGTTCCATTTTTTTGTTTATAAATCCAAGGATTTGTATTAGTACTATACAAATCCTTGATAAATCTAGGCAGTTTTCGCGAAGTGTATATATATGTCTTCTCGTATGCTGTTGACTTGCATGCGACAGGCACATACTGAATGTGGCGGGGTTAAACATATTAGCGGCCGCCTAAACTTCTGCTAACCTGGAGACAGTGATATATCCATACATGTATCTCTATCGTCTTTTATCTCGTCTTCTTTGTCTATCATTGAACTGCTTCTCTTACGGTGTTCCTTCTTATAAATGCAAGCAAAATGAAAATCTTGAACTTTTGTTTGCTTAAAATAAATGTCATTTGGAAAAAGAACCAAAGTGGAAAACAGGAGAGAAAAGCTAACATAAAATAAATGTCATTAGGAAATAAAATCAAGAAGAAAATATGAAAAAAGCAAAATGTCATTGACTGAATATAAAACCAAGGAAAACAGGAGTGAAAGGCTAACATAAAATAAATATCACGGGAAATAAAACCAAGGAAAACAGAAGAAAAAGACTTAATATAAATATATATCATTGGGAAAGAAAAACAAAGAGAAAACAGGAGAGAAAAATAAAACCAAGCCAAAAAAAAAAAAGAGAAGAGAAATATTGAACATAAAATATTATAAAAGCTGGAAGTCGTATTTTAAACAAGACGTAACTTTTCACTATTAAGAATTCAGAAATGATATAAACTAACACAAACCACTATGATCTATCTTATCGGCACTTTGGATAGTTCATAACGTTTATGGACGTATATGATCATGACACTCACAATTATGCCGTCTACAAGAGATAAAGTCGCAAAAGTTTCGGTATTTTAATGATATAAATTGATTGTTTAATTAAGTATAACTTTACAGCCTCATAAACAAAACTACAGTATCTGATTAAAATGTCTGCATGGGTATCGCTTATTATTGTTTAAATTTTGATAGTTGATATAAATCTGTGTTTGAGTTTAAGCTTGCCTCTGATAGACGTAACTTGGCATTATTATTTGTTTATTTATTCTGTTATTTACAGGTATTTTGATACCATTTTGTAAAATCAACTTTAACATGGAAATATGTTTTGCCGGGCGCAGAATGTTAAAATGGTAAAGCTGTGCACGTTTTCGAGTGTTAAAAGCGACCGTGACAAAGTAGCGAGCGAGCGCGAGTCTTTAATGTCCTACAGAATGCGCTGAGTCGGACGGGCGACTCAGTATTCTGATTAATCCTATGTTCAACATAGGTTGATACATGTAATAAGCGGATCACTGGGGATAGTCTCAACAAAATTACATGATGAATAAATTTATTATACTTCGCAAATGTACACATTTTACACATTTTAATTATTTTTACAGTTTTTTTTTGTGCCAAAACATTAGTGTGGGTTTGAAGAAAAATTAGCCAAGGAGAAAAAAAAAGCAACTGTTAAAATCTTGTTATAAGAAAACTTCTTTAGAAAAAAATTCCTACTAACAAAACATACAAACGATATGTTGGCCAAGTAGGGTTTTTTTTTTTTTATCGAAAAAGAGCTATTTTTTGTTTACAAAAGAGAAACAGAACTCCCACAACAGCTTTATCTTTTTAGATACATAAACGTATTTCCATGTCAACAGGTTAGCCATAAGATACATTTAAAACAACGCACCCATTTTTTTTATATAAATTTCCTTAACATTTGGTGCAGTTGTTGGTTCTAACTTAATCCCCTCATGAAAAATTATCGTCATTCGTCTAGAACATGTTGAGGTATTACCTATCAAATAAAATTGTCATTTGGGGACACCATTTTTCTCTAAACATTAACAATTTTAAAAGTTTTATAACCGACAACAAATACGATTTGATTGAAATCACTTGATATAAACTGTTTTTGTTAAATCTTAACACGTTAATATTTCAAATTCGGTGGTCCCTGTTGTAAAAAGTTACCGAAGTGTAAAAACTTTCTTCATTTTTCGCCTCTCCGGTTACAAAAGTATAGATTAGATACTAGAGATAATAGGGTATTATACAGATAATACAAGAAACCACCAAATAAAATATTAATAATATTTCTGCTGTTTGTATTTACATTTTTTATGACAATTTTTTATATTCTCTGCGGGACAGCGGACCAGGTTTTATACTGTTTTGATTAGCATAAGCCGGCTTTATGATGCTTCATGTATGAAATTTTCATCTTTTATAACCGAATTAAGATGAGATTACAAGTTTTGCAGTTTCAAAAAGTTAAAAGGCCACAAAAATGACGGCATACGTCAATGCTTTGTGAATGTGGACGCCTGACGCGACAACATTGTCCCA